TTGACCATTTTGTGTTTAAAAATCGCATTTTTTTTATAGATTTTTTGTCCAATAATAATCTTTATGTTCTAAGTGATAAAAATGCGTGTCGAAAACCACGTTCACGTGCGCCATATATTACTGTATCGCTTTGAAAAAGGCAACACAGCTGGTGAAGCTTTTCGCGATATCAACGAGCTTTTTGGTGAAGGAACAATTGGAAGAAGTACGGTCACAGAATGGTTCCTTCGCTTTAAAAATGGTGACACAAGCTTGGAAGATAAACCTGGAAGAGGAAGACCATCAGATTTTGACGACCAAGCACTTTTGGATGTTGTGGAAGAAGACGAAAACCTCACTACCCGAATTTTGGCCGAAATGTTTAATGTTGATCAATCCACCATCGTACGGTGGCTCAAGAAGCTCGGAAAGGTGTGGAAACTGGCTGGGTGGGTCCCTCACGAGCTGTCGGAAAAGAACAAAGAAGATAGGGCCCAAATTTTCACTGAGTTGAGCTTAAGAAACGAATAAAACCCCTTCCTGAAGTTCTTGGTTGCCGGTGACGAGTCATGGTTGTTGATCAAAAACGTCAAAAGAAAGAAGGTATGCGTTGACCCCGGCCAAATCCCAAAAGGAATCCCAACGAATTTGCACTGCAAGAAGGCCATGTGGTGTGCTTGGTGCGACAGATGCGGCATTATCCACTGGGAGATTATCGCCAAAATTCGCCAACAAAGCTTCTGTTTATGGTGGGATGACAATGATGTGGAGCAAAGATGGCCGATTCCAGACCGGGCGGGGAAAAAGATGCATACTCTCAATAGCGACGTTTATCTGGCTCAGCTCGACCGCCTCCATGCAGCCATCCAAGCCAAGAGACCCCGCAAAAAGAACCACATCGTCTTCCAGCACGACAACGGCAAGCCCCATGTCGAGCATCGAGTGATCGAATCGATCGAAGAGAAGGGTTGGGATCTGCTCCCGTACCCGCCATACTCTCTCACGGAAGCTCCCTCGGACTACCACGTCAACCGCTCATTGAAAAACTGGATGGTGAACAAAGTATACGAAGATCTGGATGAAGTTGTCGAAGATGTTAAGGCGTGGATCGCCTCTAAGAATCGTGACTTCTTTACCCGTGGAATCGATATGTTGCCAAGCAAATGGGAAGCAGTTATTGAAGTGGATGGAGAATACGCCCCAGAATAATCATTCAAATCTATTTTTATTGTGTTTTGTTGTTGTTTTGTTGAATAAACTTTGATATCACAAAGTGGCCGGAACAGAATTAGATCGACAAATACAGTTCTATGAAAGTATGACGATGATTACGGCTTCAGAATATGATCACAATCCTTTATCGTTTTGGAAAGAACAACAGGATAATTTAACAATGTTAGCTAGAATAGCCAAATCAGTTCTTGCTATACAAGGTGAGTTTATTTTATTCTTTCTTTCATTTTATCTGTATGATCCGACTTTTTGCGTTGCATATATAATATTGAACTTCCATATCTCATTTTATTAGAACCCGACAGGAGCTTTTTACGAGCATTTGTCTCTATATTTCAGCATCGTCTGCAGAAAGCGAACGACATTTTTCAAGTGCGGGACAAATAGTAGCTGAATAGCGAAGTTTGCTTGATCCAGATTGCATCGAATCTTTGATTGTGTTAAAAGAAGCATATATTAATAATTTAAGGCCAAAAGAACAATAACTTCATTTTTATAATGATTGACTCGAAAATATGAACAGCAAAAACTCGTTTCTACCATTTTATCTGTTGACAAGTGTTCTATGTTATTTCTTTCACATTCTAACTAAAGAGACTACTAGAAAAAACGTTTCGTATTGGATTGAACTTCGTGCCTCACGTTAATACTGAAATAACCAGAACAGGAAGATTTTGAATATACACAAGCTTACCTTTCTGCAAAAAATCGGTTTTTCACAAAATCCGGACTTTAATCTGCCATGGAATCGACCGGTTTTTACCGGTTCAACTCCAAAATTGAACCGGGCGGTTTTTTGCCGGATTATTGCCGCTTCAACTACACATTAAACCGGCCGATAAACTGGCTGATCCGGTTTTATCGAAAACCTGAACCGGCCGGTCCGTTTAGGAAAAATTCAACCGATTCCAACTCTGCATACAACTGACATTTAATCTCAGAATAAAAGTGAGAGCGGTTAAATGTTTTATAGTTCGCCTGTGAGTTTTACCGTAAGGTAACGTTTGCTATATGTGAAGAAAACATCCACGCTTGGACTTTCAGAGAATGTATATCCGTAGACATTATCGAACATTATTATTAATGGACAAACAGTAGAGCAAGTGACAAAATTCAGCTATCTGGGAGCCTTAATTACTGAAGATGGAAGATGTGCTGCTGAGATAAGAGCAAGGATTGCAATGGCAAACGATGCTTTCAATAAACGTAGAGAACTACTCACGCGAAGAATGCACAGAAAGTTGAAGAAAAAGATTATTAAAGAGGCGGTGTGGAGTGTAGCACTTTATGGCTCTGAGACTTCGACGATAATGTCAGACGAGATGAAACGATTGCAAGCTTTTGAAATGTGGATATGGAGAAAAACGGAAAAGATAAGTAAGAAGGATAAGAGAACGAATGATCAAATTCTGGTACGAGAAAAGAGTAAATTGCTAGGAGCGATAAAAAGAAGAAAGATAATGTGGATTGGTCACATTCTAAGAGGAAATGGTCTTTTATTGGATGTAATAGAAGGTAGAATCGAAGGAAAGCGGCCACAAGGAAGAAAAAGAAAAATGATGCTTGATGATTTGAAAGAAGGAGACATAAATGCCTACAAAGTGATAAAAGGTGCTAAGAATCGATTATATTGGAGAAATTATATGCCTGAAACCTGCGCTAGGGCAGAAAACCAATGATGATGAGATATTATCGCTAAGATCAGTTAATTATTAGAGCCAGTCTAATATTCTGCGAAGGAGGCGGAATGGCTGAGCCCCAATCCTCCGTGCGTCAAACAGAACCGAACTGATCATCGCTACATCCTGAGAGTCACTAACAGCAAAGCGATCTTACACCGAGGATGCTCACAATTATTATAACATGAACCTTTAATACATTTCTCACTTCTGTGCAGTTTTATTTTGAGATCTTTAAACACATCAAACATTAACTGAGTCTATACACTGAGAAAGCCGCTATATTTGCTGCATTTCATGAGAAAGAAGATCCATTTTTGATACCCAAAATGAATGAAGAAAAATTATACTTACTCTGTAAATTGGTTATTTTACTGATCTAGTTCAACATTAAAAAGGTTCAAAAAGCAGATATAAACTGCAAAGTTCGAGTATGAAAGTAGTCTACTTTAAGAAATAAAGTGCCTTATATAACTGGCACTGGTTTTTGCCTCGTTTAAAATGAGAAAAAACCGTCTGTTCGACAAACCCATTAAAATTTGATTACACTATGTTCTCGAAGAAAAGTCCGAGTAAAACATAGTGGAATCAATCATATATAACAAAACGGTGCCTGGAAAAATGTGGGATTAGTGCGTATCGGTGCAACACAGCATGCGCACTGGTAGTGCCGGCCGTTTTTCAGTCCTGTACTGCAGTTTGAAAATATATTTTCACATCAAATCTGCTACGATAATGTAAACGATGAAAATACGTCAAAGTTACTACAGTTTACAACGGTCGTATACTTTGTTACGTTCTGATTTTTTTTGAAAAATTTGACGTGTAAGTGAATTTTTTGCAGCGCACACATTATCAAAAAAACTGCTTTAATAAAATTCAGCACTCACGAACGAAAGAAGAAAAAGAAAAACAATAAATCATGTGCGTGGGTAAAGTTGGAAGTCGTGTAATTTTTCTTTCCAAAGCAACCACGTCATTTGAAAGCTGGAAGACCTGTCTATCGAAATCACATTTCAAAATTTTACTTCACCTACTTTTCCACGATTTCATCATTGATTTAATAAAACATTCATCGCTTAACTTGGTGTGGTTTCCTTCTATTCTGCGTATTGTTTGATCAGCCGCAGCAGTTTTTTTGCTTCTTCAACATTCACGTGCACAAAAGTGAAACAATTTCATTTATTTCTTCTTCTCGAGTAGTTCGGGCAACTGTCAACCAATTTCTCTTGCCATGACGAGTAATCTTGAAACATATGCTTGCGTTTGGCTTGACAAAGACGTTGAAAAAACTCGGATTCAACAAAAATTACGACATGTCATTACTCATCTACGAATATTCGAAAAGAGTACAGAATGTGATAATTATATTCGAGCAAGTTCGACAATAAAAGTGGTGTTGGTAATGTCGGACACATTCAGTCAATCAACAGTAGCTCGTCTACATGATCTAACCCAGCTCGTATGCTGTTATATTGTTCATCGTGACAATACGAATGATACCACGTGGACAAACCAATATCAGAAAGTAAGTTAAGAGTAAACAAACATGACCATGTACTTTACTCCTTCCTTTTGTGTTGAACATATTTCAGTGTACAGCATTTCTAGAGAGCTTGTCTGCGTATTTCATGCATACGCCAACATACAGAATTCTCCCGAATATATGTTGCAGGTCACTAAATACTCTGTATCCAGGAAACAAATGTATTAACACTCTTTGAAAGTACTATCATCCTTCGTTCTAGATCAAGGGTGTGTTCAATCATCATGATGAAATATTGGAGCGAATCATTCAAGATCAATTTGATCGTAAAAAGTTGGAAGACAGCACTTCAATCTCACTGATACCGAACGAGTCTCAGTCACTTGAGTCGAGAAATGCTAATTTTATGTGGTTTCTACTTTATGTCGAAGTTCTACTTCGAATGAATCATCCCGAGAATGCCAAAGATGAATTGATCGAAATATGCAAGAAACTATATACAGAGAAACCAGATGAATTGTCCAATATCGATCGACTTCAACGCGAATACACATCCGACAAAGCCATTTGGTGGTATACGGAAGATACATGTTTCTATCGTCTTCTCAACAAAGCTCTACGTTGTCGAGATTTCGACATGCTCTTTGCGCTTCGTTTCTTTATCACGGACATTGCCAGAGATATCAAACGCGAACACGAACAATTCATTCGTACGAGCACAGTTCGAGAGCCGTTTGAGGTCTATCGAGGCCAATTTATTAGCAGCAGTGAGCTACAGTTGATGCTCGACAATGTGGGCGAATTCGTTTCGATGAACAGTTTTTTATCCACCAGTCGCAACCGTAAAACAGCGATGAGCTTTCTTCGAAATGTTACGGTAGAGTGCAACAAACGACTTGTTCTCTTAGAAATTTCCATCGATCCACGTTTACCAACAAAGGCATTTGCCGACATTAAACAGCTCAGTTCCTTTTCGGCAGAGAATGAAGTACTTATTACGTTGGGAGCTCTCTTTCACATCGATAAGATATTCGAGCATTCTCAAGAAAGTTTCTGTGTTGTCAAATTATCGTTGGCAAGTGACAACGATTATCCTTTGAAGAGAATATTTGACTATATGAAACGAATGATCGGCGACGAAAGCACTCTTGATTCGCTAGGAAAAATTCTCGAACAAATGGGCGAGCATCAGTATGCGTGTAAATACTATGAGCGAATGATGCACGAAACTCAAATGACCCTTGCTAACTGTCAAATGGGCATCGGCAGAGCCATGTACGGCATTATGAGTTATGAAAACGCCTTAAAACACTACGAAAAATGTTTGATTATTCGTGAACGCGAACTGGGCAAGGACCATGCCCAAGTTGGAATCAGTTACAGTCGAGTGGGAGCCGCGCTTTGTCGTCAAGGAGAAGTGCGCAAAAGTTTGACTTACTTAGGCAAGGCTAGAGAAATTCAAGAAAGAGTTCTCCCACCGAACAGTCTCGAACTAGCTGAAACATATAATTCGTTCGGTTTAGCTTATTTTACATTGAATGAACTCAAACAAGCTGCCAGTTACTTCACAAAAGTACTCGACATTCGCTGCAAAGTTTTGCCGCTCGATCACTCAGATATCGGATTTGCATATAATAATTTAGGAAGCGTATTTGAGCAAGATCAACAATACGAGGAAGCACTCGTGTACTGGAAGAAATCGCTGTCGATTAGTTCGAAAACATTGCCACCTACCCATCCTGATGTAGAAAAAACTCAAGCGAGTATTTGCCGAGTAACGGAGGTTTTAAAGGCTGAACAAGAACAGGCATCACCGACAAATGATACATTGGATTTTTCATGGATAACGTCTCTTGGAATGGATTGATCTTACAAAGATTGTTGTTATGTCCGGTTTCAGTAGCAGAAAAAACATGTGTACAGTCAAAAGTTTAAGACACTTTTAATTAGGGGTGAGAAGTTGTCGTTACTTTCAAAATAACTTTCTTGAGAGTTTTGCGAAATGTGAATGTAAGCCAACGTGTCGTATACCGACAGATAGAGGGCAGAATTCTGATACTCCTTTTCTTCTCTTTTGCCATACACATTTCTCTCGCTCTGTCATTGCTCTCAGTCTTCACTAATTCTTATCCACAATCATCATGCGTTGTAGCTCTGATCAGACCCATCTAGCGTCTTACCTTCCTTCCCCATCACTCAACGGCAACCATAGTTGCCAGTTATACCACCAGTTATCATGCTGGCCGGTAACGCGCATAGGTTTATAGTGTATACTGATCTTATATTATATGAGGATGAAAATATCTGATAATCAAGCGCGAAAAAGTAATACACAAACTGCGATCTCGACATTCACTTTTAGTAGTCAGTTACTGTCCTCAAAACAATGCTGAATCGCCAAGTATCGTCCTAACTGTTTTGGTCATTTTGAAACCCAATAGAAATAAGGTTATTGTTTTTAGATATCCATCAAATGTCAAGGTCCACTTGTGCGTTCAACATAAATATGAGATTTAACTTACAGAAAAGCATCCGCGACAGCCTAATAGCCACATACTGGACGCAGTTGACGAGAACAACAAATTTTCTCTTCTTACAATCACAGTTTTCAAGTCAACGGTTTTTTCTTCTTGTTTCTTCGTATGAAAAGGAGCAAAAAAAAGCAGTAGAATGAAATTATTTTGTCTCCGACTCTTCTACAATTTCACTGACATATCTCGAGTTTCTAATGCTGTAGTTTATTGACTTTTCATACAAGCATATTTGATAAAATTGTCAACTATTGTGTATGATATGTCTCAATCTGGCTGAAAACGCTGTAGAGACTAGCTGCTGTCATCAATTATTTTGTAAAATATGTTTAATAAAAGTTGATAACTCAAGTTGTCCCAATTGTCGTAAAAATTTACTGCTATTGATGCTTACTTTGCTCGCCGCTTAATTGGAAAGTTGCAAGTATCATGTTTAAAAGGTTGCGGTCAGACAGTAAACAACTCGGACAAAAAAAATCATGCTGGCTACTGTGTAAAACGTCTTTTCAACTGTCCTGTATGTGAGAATTTTATCAATGGAGTTAAACAACCATTTACACATTTCATGACTCAACATGAAAATTTTTTAATTGATCGCATTTTGATTGATCGCAAACCCCTGGATTTTTATCGTTTTCTCACGTTTTTCTTAGTAAAAAAGCATCCTAGCTAAAAAGTAAGGACATATTCGGAATTAGCGTGAGAAATTGCATCGAATGATATATAATTTACAGCAGTTTTTTGGGAAAAAATTCTAAGTTTTCGTGGAAGGCTAAATTTGAGGCAGCACCGTAGTACTTAAGGCCGGTGGTTTTTATACCGTTAGAAAAGAGATCTGGAGGTCTACAAATAATTGTTTTATAGGTTTCCGAGTACGGGTGATCAATGCACTTATTCAAAAAATTCTAAATTGGTTTTGCAAAGGTTTTCTATAGACCAGATCTCTGGAAAACCCTTAAAACATGGATTTTGAACTTTGTAAGTGACTCCATTAGAAAGAGCACACGCGAAAACCTACAAAAACATATCTGAGAGATCTTTCCAGCACTTTAGAATTCAATGTCCACATGCCTAGGCAAAATTGCCTGCTGTGAGTCATTGCGAAGCAATTTGAACTTATCGAAAACCCGGTTAATCTCCATTCATTACATGAAAACTTTTGCTGACAATGTTGTAGAAATGTTCATGGGCTATCGATTGGACAAAATAATTTTGTTATAGCTTCGGAACTAACGCTTACATCGTTACAGAATCACGCTTCCGTTACGGAATCATGCATTACGAATAGCTATGCCTTTGTAGTTCGATTCTTTTCTCTCACGGTTGAGTGAGAGTTAAATTAAAATGACATTATTGCGATCTCAAAACATTTCCGCATTCAATCAACACTAATTAAGACGAAAATAATTGAATATTCTGACGAGTAACTCAAGTCGAAAAATCTAACTGTGGTAAACATCATCATTTTTTCGACTATTGAGGTGGTTCGATTTATGAAAAAAAACATTTCGAAAAATTGAATACTGCATGCTCGTGACAAGCTCGAAAAATCTTATCAAATGGTGTATAATAAGTTAAGAAAACATTCCACTTCATTTTTGTTTTCGCTGCACCTTGAAACTGTTTTTATTAACGATGAGATTTTTATTTTGCAACCATGCTCATGTAATGTATTTTTCGCGGGAGCTATTTCTCATTTGTCGAACAATTTTCGATCTCATCAAAATTTTTAAAATTTATCGACGTAATAATATAATATGATTATATACAGTATATCAACCTATTCAGGCGTTCCAATTCAGGTATGACAGCAGAAACAATGTAAGTCCGTAGTGTTTTGTGAAAGTCAAATGGTTCACGAGTAGATTTCATACAAGGAAATAGAAATGAAGCGACGGAGACGAGATAAAGCGAGTATGGATTAATTAAAATAATATCCTGCATAATACAACAAGATCCATGCTGAATATGTTTTAAGTACGACTTCAAAGATGGATGATTTATCATACTGAACAGAATTTAGACGAATGTTCTTTTCATAGCAAAATCTTCGAAGATCGCAAAGCCATTTTTTGCAGAGTTTTGTTTTGGCAGTTCTGCTTTGAAACTCAAGCAGATGTAAAGTGCAACTCACTTAATTAATAGTCAGATAAATTCTGAGATCTGTAGTGTAACAAGCACTTTCAAGCATTTTCGTTCATTCAAGCGCAGATCGAAAAGCCATCACAGAATCTGTCTTTAGAGCACATAAACAAAAAAATGATTTTTTAAAATTTTTTGCATAAAAAGAGGGGATATCCTTTATCCATTCAAAATAAATTTGAGCATCGGCAATTCAAAATGCGCTTAAGTTACACTTAGACTACACTAGCGATTTAAATAGATGTAGAATCTGTGCATCTATTCAAATCACTAATGAATAAGAGCATTTTGATTGCCGATACTCAAATTTATTTTGAATGGATAATTATTGATTGCGATTTTTTTGCGATATCGCTGGGCTCGCGAAAACTTGCCCCAAAAACCGCTTAATGGATGACGTTATTCAGCCTTTGGCCGTATAATCATATAGAAAAAGAAAAAAATAGTTTCTTTTTTTATCGTTTCTGGACAAATGCTCAGTGGACTGATGGCATGGATTGCGTCACTTTCTCGGTTTTGTTTTCCAGTGCACTTTCCCTCACTATGATTAGCCACTGCAAGAAAAACCAGGCGAGTGGACGTAGCACAATGGGCATTTTTTGCTAGAGCAGGCGGACTTTAGCTTTATGAGTGAACTAAAATTTCATGAACCATTTTTTTATAGGTTTTTTCATGATCCTCTTTCTAATGGCATGAGAGTTGGGCTTTGAAAAGCTTTTTTAAGGAGTTTTCCAGAGATCCAGTCTCTGGAAAACCCTTCAGAAAACTTTCTCAATATTTAAAAATGATGCCA